TGAGACTGACTGGATACAACTTCCACTTGGGAGCAAAAATCTGCCTTTAAACTTGAAAGAAATTAAGATTTTATATTTACCGTGACAATTATCGATATCAACTGATATGAAACATGTTTATCGTGATAATGTTTTTGCCAATATTGCCCAGCCCTACAAGCAAATTATCAATTCATCTCTATTCTGTCTGGTCAAAAAAAAAAAAAAAACATAACCAAGACTTTGAGTTAGTCAGAGGAATTCAAAAGGAGAACTACGTATATGGTGAACTTCATGCAGGGAAATGAAAAGCCCACAGAAAGCCTGGCTTGCCTTGCCCTCACCGCACTTGGTCCCATCCACAACACCATCCAGCCTCGAGTGGCAGGTTGAGCCCACTGTGCACCACAGGGTGCTGCAGATATTCTGAAGGGTACAATCATTTAAGAATAATTCAGAATAGTTCAAAGCTACATAAAATGTTATTATAAATGTTGTAGAATTCCTCTTAATTCTTAAGTAAGTCTTAATTCCTTATCGGAAGCCCATTTTTGCCACTGAATGAAATAAATAAATAAATACAAAAGGTAATTGTGATTTTTTTTTTTAAATCTCACAATTCAGTCTTTTTATATTTCATAGCTTGGATTTTTAAAGAGAAAACAACCTATATAGAAACTCACAATTCTGAGTAAAAAAGTTTCAGAACTGCAAAATATAAACTGAGAATTCTTCATATCTCACAATTCTGACTTTTTTCTCAGAAATGCAAGATAAAAGTCTGAATTGTAAGATATACACTAAGAATTACAAAAAAAACAAGATTATTTTATCCTGTGGCAGAAAAAAGCTTATCTGTGTTCATTTTGTGTTAAATTGTTTTATACCATTTTAACAAAAGTTATGTTAAGTGTCAAGTGGTGTAACCATTAAATAACATATTTTCGGAATCAAGTGTTCATATTTTCAAAACGTTAGTTTGTACTAAAAAAAAAAAAAATGACGACATTTTTATTTTACTATATGTACCAAAAGAACATTATGTTAGTTTGCCTATTTACAGTAGGCAGTTTTTAAGCTGTTGATGTTAAACTTTGGCTTGCAGTCTACAGTGGAGGGGCACGAGGAAGCAGCTTCAACTTCAGTTTTGATACCCCAAGGGACTACTAGTGCTTGGATGTTTGGATGGATACTTAAATTATGTTGGTGGCATTGAGGAGGCAGCAGGATGCTGAAACAGCTGATGCTGGAGCAAGGTGAGTGCTGCTCAAGCTCCAGCACTTAATTAAAAGATTAGAATTCAATTTAGGAATTTCACCAATTAACACCAAAAAATTACCAATTAGTAAAATATGAAACATTTCATTGATAAACAAAAATGATAGAACACAGCCATATAGTAAGTGTTTTCTTAATATTTGTCTGCAAGTATAATATTTTTTCAAGACTTTTAGCTCTTTTTAAATGCTGTCCAAAAATGGAAAATATTTTCATCACAGAACGTCATTATCAGTAAAAATTGTATTATTATTTTTTAATGTGCTTTTTGAATAGATCTAGACATAACAAAAGAGTTTCACATCCCTGACATTTCAAATGTCACATTGAAAAATTATGAAACCACATGTGCTTAATTTGAGGCCTACTCTGGAATCCTGAAATGCATGGAGTTATGTTATTGTTTAATGTTCTCTTAAACTTTTGGAAAATGGCAAACCTTGTGTGTTGTGCACCAAACACAAACATTCATTGCATTTCTTAACCTCTGCAATTTCCTCTGGTGTCATTTCTTGAACTGTAACAGCCCTGATAAGGAAATTGAAGTCTGGCTTTATCTGTGTCCGAACGACAGAGTGCCAACTCTTTTGCTGTGTCTGTGACATTTGGCCAATAATTGAAAGATGCCCAGTATCTGCCAACAGTTGCTGCAGAAAGCACGGACATCACTGATGTGATTTGACATCACAGACAACAATTCTGCAATCTGATGCCCTTTTCCCTATTTTAATTCTGCAGGATGCCAAATTTAAATGAGCTATGTTGGCTTTCCCCCTCATTGTTCAGCTAGCTTAGATAAAAATGTTTGTAATTTCAAGGTAGAGCTCTTCATGTTAAACTGTTTACAAAGTAGTTCTTCTAGTTGGAACATAAGACCTGCTAAACTAATGATGTGCCTTTTCCCACTAAAACAGCTGGGAATCAGATGGTCCTGATGTAAGTAGAAACTGGCACTTCCTCTGTGATGGAAAAGTGTATGTGTGGTCTATGCCTTACCAGACACTTGAAGTAATAGAGGTTTTTGTTGAACTGTTCACAATTTAATAGTGAGAAATTTAAAGCAGCCCATGGGCCTGGAAGTACATGAGTTGCTTAAAGAAATAGTTTCCTAATGAGATCAAATTCAGAACAGATCTCTTTGTTGAAAAGACCAGCATGGCTGGCTATTGTGTTTTGGGTGCTGGTATTCCCAATCAAATATATTAAGTACACTGAAACATACACATAAAACATACATTTTATTATAGTAAAAGTGTAGTAATGTTTTTTTGGTGTATTCATTACCATTTGCATGACCACACTTTTACTACAAGTACCATGGTTAAACTATGGTTAGTATAGCAAAACCATGGTTAATTTGTGGTTACCATGGTTTAACTATAATGACCATGGTTATTTGGTTTTATGTGTAGTAAAATGGTTAATTTTCATAAGGGTTGTGCCATTGCTCGCTAAAAGTTTGCTAGCTATCTTATAAACACTGATGTGACAATACATAGGCCTATATTTTTTAATATAAGTTTAATTTATTAAATCCTGTCATGAAACCATGTAAAATCACTTTTACACTACTTAATTTGTTCACTTCAAAATAACTTCATTAAATGATGTTGAATGATTAAATGATGCAAATCCAACACACTTTTTTTCAGTGTATAACCTTTATAATGAATTATCTTTTTACTTTGTTTGAATGTTTTTGACTTTGATAAAAAGAGATGTTTTTTAAATCAAAATTTAAGGTTTGAACCTAAATCAATTTTTTTTTAAATGGGTCCAAAGTATATTTTTTTCCAGTGTACTTTTAGGATAAGTTGCCTTTGTGTTCCTTTGAAGCTTGAAATGCTCCAGTTCCCATTCTTTGTAACTGAATGAAAAAAAGCAACCATTTTTCTTTCTTTCTTTTGTGTGTGTATTACAAAAGAAATTCATGCACAGAAACTACATTATCTGAACTTTGGCTTCACTATCAGAAGCACTTATATATTTTTATTAGGTTACATTATAGCCTACAATTTATTTACAGTTCCTAGCAGATGTGTGGTTCAGAATGTCTTGCTCCATCTGTATTTCATAAACAGATCATTTAAGCCCTCTGTCTGCACTTGTGTACACTTCTGACCCATTTTTCTTAGCAGTTTGGCATCAGAGAGCTGTCTGCTGGGGGAATCAGAGTTATTTGTGGGTTCAAGGGAAAATCTTACATCTACATCGTCACAGAGCAGTGAGCTGGATCCATACTGGAGCTTGCACTGATGAGCAGCGCTGTACAGGACGCCAGGGGGAGCAGAGTGCATCTCAAGATCGTTTCTGACAGGAGGGTCATCCAAACACCAGCCCCAGCCTCGACTGTGAGGAACATGACAAAAACACACCACATGCAGAAAATACTTAGGCAAAGGTTTCTGGTTTAAGTGCAATTCATTCTCAGATTAGTACTTTTATAGGCTGAAATATTACATTATCTTAACTGAATAGCCTCTAAGATCTTGTTGTATTTCAATATTCTTTAATAGATCAAGGGCCAAATTTACTGCTTGGCTTGCGCCAGCACAAACCCTCCTTTGGCATTAAAAAAACACTTTCAGGATTTACTAAAGACACATAATGAAAATGAATGATGAAAGGGCATGGACGCTGTTATTTTTGTGGCTTATTGCATATGCTTTGAAGGAGTTCCCCTTTTAGATGCAACATTTATGGGAGGAGTGTGTTTAAATGATTCAAAGTGACTTTCTAAGGTTTGAGGTAATCAATGTACAAGTATTTGTGCCCAAAAAAGCATTTTGCACCTGACATGGTGACGATAGCCAGGGGCGCATTAATGCACGGAATGAATAATTAATAATATAAATAATAATATAAAGGAATATAAATAATTGAATAATTATAATAAATTATAATAAAAATGATTTATATGGGAGTTTGCAGCAGTGACAACAGCGTTCCGTAAACAAACTCGCACACTCATTTTTAGTGATGCCCTGGTTGTAGTAGCCTATATAGTGAATGGCTCAGTTTAGGTTCCCCCCACACAGTTTGTATACTATAGTTGGTATGTTCCACGTGTTCCATCGATATAAGCGGAATGTACAATGCATTCGCTAGTAGTAAATAACCGCAGCACAAGAGTATCTTTATGTCAACATGCAGATTAACAGAAACACAACACTGCTGTGTGAAAGGAACTGAACCGGACAACGTTCTGTAACGTCATACAGTGAGAGTTCAGTAACTTGCTTGGTTGTAATCTGTGTGTCATCTATGTCCCATAAATAGTGTCAATTTTAAATCTGGATCTCAAAGTCTCCATTTTAAATCCAGGGATGGAAAAATAGGAATTATCCTACTGCTTAAATGTGATCATTAAACTTTATAGGGCTGTGGTTTAACTAATTAAACGTGAGCACGTCATGTTTCAAAATAAAAACGCAGTTAGCAATCACCAAATAACCCACATTTATGTCAACATGCCATGTGTTTTGCTCTACTGATGATGAATAATTAATATTTTGTGTGATTTATGGTGTTTAAATCATACCTGTAAATTCACATTTCAGCCAGGAAAGTTTTGATGGCATTTTCCTTTCATATTACCTCCGTATAATGCCCATAATATCGTAGTGTTTACTTTATGTAACGGCTATATAATTCTGCTGTTCCACAAGCGCCACCTTGTGGCAAAGAGTAAATTTGCATATTCGCTTATATTCACATTTTACGCAGAACAGTGTTGTGAATGTAAACTGGCATATTAACAAGACAAAAAAACGAAATTTGACAAATAATTTTTAGGAAGCTTAAAAAAAATAGGTTTTCTGGGGTCGGGGGGCCTACTGTAATGCTGTAGCCCAGGGGGGCCTTTGGTTATCTTAAGGCGCCCCTGACGATAGCTGATAATTTTGCTGCTCTTGGTAGATTTTGTTGGTCATTATAGAAATGAGCTGGGTGTATCTGTGTTCTTTAATTTGTTCATTGTCAGTATATCATCTGCAGAACTCTGATATTTAGTTGGACTGCCTTTAGCTTTGATAACATTATGCTTTCGTTGTGGCATTACAACATTTATTTCCATCAAGAGTTGCATTCATTTTTGGCTGAGATCTTGTATTTACAATGGGAGCATTGAACCACTCTGTAAAGTCGAGTCCAGCACATCCTAAAGACTTTCAATAGCGTTAAGGTCAGGACTCAATGGTGACCAATTCATACATGAAAATGATTCCTCATGCTCACTGAACCACTATTTCACAAACTGAGCCTGGTGAATCTTGGCATTGTCATCCTGGAATATCTACATGGGCACATCCTCTGACATGCTTAAGAAATAAAAAGCTCTGCACTGCATTAGTTAAAAGAATGGTTGCAAAACATAAAACATGCCAGAATTAATCACTGCAACAATGATGCAATCCTAGAATCTTCAGTATTTGATTATTAAAATACAAATGTGGACTTTTTTTTCTTTTTTTTTTTTTTTTAAAGAAATTCATACTTTTATTTAGCAAGAATCTGTTAAATGGATAAAAAGTGATAGTAAAGACTTATATTGTTAGAAAAGATTTCTATTTTGAATAAATGCTG